CATGACATGGACCTGCCTTGATGTTGTGCCCGGTACAATACATGACATGGACCTTCCCAGTACACTTCATGACATGGACCTGCCAAGATGGTGTGTCCGGTACACTACATGACATGTACCTGACCAGTACACTACATAACATGGACCTGCCTAGATGGTGTGCCTGGTACACTACATAACATGGACCTGCCTAGATGGTGTGTCTGGTACACTACACGACATGTACTTGCCTAAATCGTGTGCCTGGTACACTACATGACATGGACCTGCCTGGATGGTGTCCCTGGTACACTACATGACATGGACCTGCCCAGTACACTACATGACATGGACCTGCCTAGATGATGTGTCTGGTACACTACATGAAATGGACCTGCCTAGATTGTGTGTCTGGTACACTACATGACATGGACCTGCCTAGATGGTGTGCCTGGTACACTACATGCCATGGACCTGCCTAGATGATGTGTCTGGTACACTACATGAAATGGACAGACCCTTGACACGACAGACATACCACAGTCGTCGTGAGACCTTCGACACAACAGACATACCACAGGCGTCGTGAGACCTTCGACACAACAGACATACCTCAGGCGTTGAGAGACCCTCGACACAACAGACATACCACAGGCGTCGTGAGACCGTCGACAAAACACACATACCATAGGCGTCGTGAGACCTTCGTCGTGACGGCCACCTAGAACGTGTCCATCAATACACTGTGAAGACGTCTCCGAGAACGAGGACGTTGCAGGGATGCGACCTATATAATCTGTAAATGAAGCGCGGGGCAGATGGGAGTTTTATTGCTCTTACAATACCATCAGATGGGCTGTGTCCTTGTCGAGCCGACAATATTGTAATTGCGGCTAATATTGTCAAATGACTAACGGCCAAGTCGAATGACAGTTGTAGGTAACTACACGGCACGTTATGACAGCATTTGTATTATACACAATTGGTAGATAACGACTAGCGTCTACACAGATTGTTCTCATCAATATGACGTGGTGAGGCAAAATACCCGTCATTAGACTGCATCACGGCACTATGAAGCATACCATTGTGAAACGTAATATCCTGTAGAAAACCCACAAACTGCAACACTGGATTATGACGTGTACCATTACGAATCGTTATTTCAGATATAACACTGCAGGGAGAACAAACCATGAGGCAGCCCCGAGTGGTTTATTCTCCTTGCAGTGTTTATTGAACGATAAACAACGACCACAAGTCGTTTAGTTATTTCTAGTATGAGGTATCAACATTATGTATAGCCTCTTCAAGGATGTTGATAAAATGTACAAGCTTTAAAAATATTTACCCAAATTTTAAAAATGATGACTGCCGGAATACAAGCCGACATCGGAAATGTCGGACAAGTCCATTAAACGAACAGGTGGGTTGAGCTTGGTATTTTCCGCACAATTCTCAGGTTGATTACCTTTACCTTTTCTCCCAACACCCATTGACGTATCTCTCTCACTTTTGTAATCGATAGTTCGGCCACTGCGTAGCCCAGCTACATCTATGGGGAACAACTTACTGGACACTTACCTCTCAAAAACGTCGTATGACGTCATTAAGTTGCAAGCACATTTTCGAATCTCAAGAAATGACGTCATGATAGAACAATGTTTTATGGTGAAATATACCACGCTTAGTCCTTCATTGTTTTTTGCGATTTATAGCGTAGCTTCCTTATATAATCCTATAGTATATCGACGGCACCACTTAACTATGACATGTACTATTGCAAATCGTTATAATCCTATATTATAGTCATAGGAAGCACAACTTAACTATGACGTGTACTATTGTTAATCGTTATAATCCCAAACTGTACCCCGGACTGCATCACTTAACTATAACATGTACTATTGCATATTGTTATTATCCTATAGTACAGTCATAGGAAGCACAACTTAACTATGACGTGTACTATTGTTAATCGTTATAATCCCAAACTGTACCCACATACTGCATCACTTAACTATAACATGTACTATTGCATATTGTTATTATCCTATAGTACAGTCATAGACGGCACCACTTAACTATGACGTGAACCATTGCGAATAAATATAATCCAGGACTATACCGACACCCTACTGTATGTTGCATCAATGAATCCTACAGTTGAATAAATGCCCCCTCCACCCCACTGAGTGAAAGCCCTTAAGTTAATCTTTGTCCTCAACAATGTTCATCTTACGCGCTGCGATACTATTGTTCTACCAGTGTACGAGGTTGTGTGAGGATTGAAATACAAATACAATTGGTTTCCAATACATAATACTTTAGCTAGAAATTGTTTATCTGAGTGATGTATTGTTTTGTATTGATGTGCGGACAGTCGTCAACATGTTCAAGGTCGACGTAGAGTGGAGACGTTCAGCAGTGGCACAGAGACTGTATGTGAACAATGGAGGCAGCAGTGGAGGCAACAATGCAGGCAGCAAGGGATATTATCCTGGTTTTCTGGTAATCAATATTCTTGTCACTGGGGTATTGGGATTGAATTTATCGGAGAGCTTGTGTGAACCTGCCTTAGGAAATCGTTGGCGTCGAAAATAATAATGACATCATGGTCACTTACAGTTTGTTCATAGATTACTTTATATTTTCTGTTGTCTTTTGTTTCACATGGCTACTTTACTCCCAGGATACGGCAGACGTCAAAGGATGGCACCGTCAAAGGTCGCACTGAAACGGATCACTGATCGGAACCCTGCACACAAATCAATAAACACATCGTTGTCAGTTGCTCTTATCAAAATAAATGGGCAATAATTTAGTCAGCGTTCGGAAACAGTAGTCTTCTCGGCCTAGTTGTTTGTTGGTGGGAAACTTCCGTGAGATGCGAAGAGGCACAGTACATCATGAGAACAGCCATTTGACTGTGAACTTCAGCAGCTCACTCACGTAGCATGACATGGCTAACCGAAATGTCCTAATGAGAGAACATACAATAAGTCCATTTACATTATTCAGACACGCCTAAGTAGTAATTGGGTCATTCAGTTCAGCAGTGACTGACGGTGATGACGACGTCGTCATAGATTCCACCCAGCAGTCGCTGACGGTGATGACGACGTCATCATAGATTCCACCCAGCAGTCACTGACGGTGATGACGACGTCGTCATAGATTCCACCCAGCAGTCACTGACGGTGATGACGACGTCGTTATAGATTCCACCCAGCAGTCACTGACGGTGATGACGACGTCATTATAGATTCCACCCAGCAGTCACTGACGGTGATGACGACGTCATCATAGATTCCACCCAGCAGTCACTGACGGTGATGACGGCGTCGTTATAGATTCCATCCAGCAGTCACTGACGGTGATGACGACGTCGTCATAGATTCCACCCAGCAGTGACTGACGGTGATGACGGCGTCGTTATAGATTCCACCCAGCAGTCACTGACGGTGATGACGACGTCGTCATAGATTCCACCCAGCAGTCACTGACGGTGATGACGATATCGATGTCATCTGTGGTTCACATCAACTACATGGTGGCGAGAATGTCACCTGTGGTTCACATCAACTACATGGTGGCGAGAATGTCACCTGTGGTTCACATCAACTACATGGTGGCGAGAATGTCATCTGTGGTTCACATCAACTACATGGTGGCGAGAATGTCACCTGTGGTTCACATCAACTACATGGTGGCGAGAATGTCACCTGTGGTTCACATCAACTACATGGTGGCGAGAATGTCACCTGTGGTTCACATCAACTACATGGTGGCGAGGATTTCGATGACGTCGTGATGAATACAGGTGTTCGTCGTGATGAATACAGGTGTTCGTTGTGCACTACATGCATAATGCACGAATGTTTCCTGTGGGAGTGATGGTGGAACTATTGATGAGCCTTACTGCAACCAACATGCACGAGGAATAATTGTTGAATTGAGATGACACGACAGAGTACATACACTATGTAGTGTTATAGCCGTTCATGTTGTATACAATATCACTATGTTATACGCTGTGTAGTGTTATAGCCATTCATGTTGTACACAATATAATTATGTTACACCGTGTAGTGTTATAGCCGTTCATGTTGTATACAATATCACTATGTTATACGCTGTGTAGTGTTATAGCCATTCATGTTGTACACAATATAATTATGTTACACTGTGTAGTATTATAGCTATTCATGTCGCAAACAATATAATTATGTTACACCGTGTAGTGTTATAGCCGTTCATGTTGTATACAATATCACTATGTTATACGCTGTGTAGTGTTATAGCCATTCATGTTGCAAACAATATCATTATGTTATACACTGTATAGTGTTATAGCCGTTCATGTTGTATACAATATCGTTATGTTACACTGTGTCGTGTCATAGCCGTTCATGTTGTATACAGTATCACACACTGTGTAGGAATAATAGCCGTTCATGTTGTGTAGAATATATTTATGTTATACACTGGGTAGTGTATTAGCCGGTCATGTTGTATACAAAATCATTATATTACACTGTGTAGGAATATATTTCTCCATGTTTCCGAGATGTGATATACAGTAAGCAGGATACCCAACCCACTACAGACATGTATACGGGAGGGACATCGTTTTGCTTATGCGAAGACACTCTCGACAAAAACACTATGGCAGCATGTTATGATGACCTTTAGGAAAGCTGTTACACGCGAGAATCATATACACTGCTTTTAAATACTAAACCAAATTATCCCTCCCGCCATGATAATCAAAGAGCACATGTCGAAGGCAACACTTATTGACATGAGCAATTAGTTAAACCAACACTCAGAACAATAGGATCCTGAAACAGACATTCATTTAAAACGAAGAAAATAACTTTAAGAGAGATATTTCTGTGATTAATCGATCTGTGTCCAGATAGGCATCGACATATTGATTCCTGCAGCAGCTTAATGCAGGTCATCGTGAGACACAACAGCTGGTCCATACAACCAGCTAGACAGTAGAAAGAACCTACCTGTCTGTAGCTGGTCCGTTCTGGGGTATATGTATGATCCACCCTGATGAGGTACACCCTGATGAGGTACACCCTGATGAGGTCCACAGTGCGCTGTCCCGCCTTACGCAGCTGGTATACCAGCGTCCGCAGGCCAGTTGTCAAACGCGAAGTATTG